TTGTTAAAAGGAAACAATTATATTGCTACTAAAAATTGATCAGGGAAAACTTAAAAGTCTTAGCAGATTTTTATGCCACAAACCATATTTTGAGAACTACGTTCTGGTAATTAGAGATAAAAAGCAATAGTTTCTAGAAAGTATCAGTTTGTATTTTTTTCTTTAAATGTCTTTACACTAAAAACTGGCTTTATTAACATGCTAAGCACAATGTTAAAGGGAAGTTCATGGGGTCACTACTCAAATCAAGTGAATTCTGGAAATTTGTCTGACATTTTATTTTAATCCTGGCTGTCCAAAGATCTATTACTTAACTGAGGCTATGTCATAGAAGATAGCATAATATTACTTCTGGATAATGAAAACAGTTTTAAAGTCAAACAGAAAATAAAAGCATGAAAGCAGGTAAAGATAAGATAGATATTGACTGAATCGAATGCTAACAACTCCAAAAAGGGTAGACATTAACAAAACTGAACGAAGATCAATTCATTGAATATAGTACATTGAATACACCATTTTTCTAATGAGGAGCTATAAGCTACAGAATCAATAAATTATGTTTTAATGTTCATTTTTACTATGCTGGGAAGAAATTATTCTTTTACACTTTATACACTTTAGATAGAATGGCTCTGTATGCTTATACAGAGATAAAGAAATGGAAAAGAAAGTAATATAGTTGACTCTGTGCTCCTGGAATTGCTAATCTACTAATCCATAAATAGTAAATTCCTGCTGCATGCACTATATTTGGGGGGATTTTTTTTTTTTTTGCCTTAAACTGAAAGCTGGCTCTCCAGGAGGATATTATTCCCTACAAGCCTTCCCAGATGGTATGTAATTATTTTCCCTTATGACATAGCTCAGATATAGGGTTGATGTTCACCTTCCTGTTGCCCCTTCCCAGATTATTTTTATTTTATGCCCTTCTAAAATTAAAACAAAACTATAAATTACAATATACACACTTCCTTTGTAGCTCATGCTAAAATATTCTCCCATCACATCTTCATCTTTCTGATCTAAAATTTACTGGTCTAGTGTATCTCACTCATTATCCTTTCTTCCAGTGGCTGTATAGAATGGTTCCTCAAACTTTATACACAGTTGATTCACCTGGAAGTACTTGTTAGATTCAGATTTTGACTTAGGAAGGACACACAGATTCTGCACTTCCTATAATTCCCCATGAAAAGTTGTGGACCACTTTTAACACAAAGCATTTAGGAAGCTATATCTACTATTATCTAATCTGTTATAGTCCTAATCTCCCATTTACACTTTGATACTCATTCCCTCCAGTTTTTATTATCAATAATCTCTATTATTCCTTCACTGCTCCTTGTCCTTCTTACATAGTAAATCTCTCCATCTCTCTCACCTGCTAAAGTATCACCCCCTGAAAACCCGGAACAAAACAAAACACCACCACCACCAACAACAACAACATCATGTTGCCCAAGCTTGTTTCAAACTCGGGATTCTTCTGCCTCATCTTCTCATGTGATTGGGAGTATAGGTGTATGCCAGCATGCCTGGCTCCCAAACAAAACAAAACAAAAACCCCCCTCAATTCCTGTCTAGTGTTTTTCCTATTCATCACTAACCACTAACCCTTTAAAAAGAACCATTTGAGGAGTTGGCACATGCAGGGCACTGGGTTCAATCCTCAGCACTATAAAAAAAAATAAAATAAATGTATTGTGTCCAACTACAACTAAAACAAAATATTTTTTAAAAATTAAAAGAAGAAGAACTATTTGACAAGACCTATTGGTGCATGCCTGAAATCCCATCTATACTGGAGGCTGTGGCAATAGGATAGTATATTCAAGGCTGGCGTGGGCAACCTACTTAGATTAGCTTAAAATAAAAAGATTTGGGAATACAGCTCTCTGATAGAACATTTGCCTAGCATGCATGAGGGCTCGATCCCTGGTACCACCTCCTCCCCACCACACACATACACAAAAGAAATCATCTGCTTGTAGGTACCATTTTCTGACTTTCTGAATGTCATCAATGTGCCCACTTCAATGTGACTACCTAACACAGCATTCACTAAAGTCATCCATGACCTCAGGTCAAAGAGCTAAAAATGACATTTTCATTTCTCATTTTACTTAAAACAACAGTATTCATTACTGTTAACATCTACCAACATTTGTGCTTATTGTCCCTCATGACACTATATAGTCATCTTACTTTCCTGTTATCATTCTAGGAATTCTTTCTTCAGTGTGTTTTGCAGTATCATAATCTTTTATCTACCATTAGATACAGAGTTCTAATATGGGGCTCTTTAATTCTTTAGGGCTCGGTTCTACTCATTCTTTTCTAGTATACATTCCTGACATTTTAATGAACATACATGACACCTCCATATTCTCTTGCCTAAATGCAGTAACTTCTGAATTTATGTCTCCAGCTTATACCTCTTCTTTGAGCTGGTCTACTCAACATCTTCTCTTAGATGTCTCAAAGATACCTTAAACATGAGGCTTGAAGGTTAATTAATAATTTTTAACTCCACCAGATGCACAAGTCCAGAAAACTATGAATTGCAATCTTGACATATCCTTATTCTTCACTGCCATGTATCCTCTTATCTGACATCTCCCAGGTATCTACCGAATCTTTTATATTTTCTTTATCTCCATCATCATTGCCACTCTAGTTTTGGCATTTTCATTTCTTGGCTGGGCTACTGCAGTGATTTCTTAAGAAGCCACCATCCATTTCACTTTACTTTTCCATCTTTAATCTGCTCCACAGCGCACAGATATAGTGATTTTTCTGAAATGCAATTTGATTATTTCCTCTTCCCTCTGCTCATCCTAAACGTCTTTTAGTCCTTCATACTTGCCAGGTTCCTTCCCACCAAAGGGTTATTACTTACACAGAATGCTCTTCTCCTAGGTAATCCTATTCAGACATCAACTCAATTATTTTATTGGGAAAACCTTTCTTTGCCTCAATGACTAGGTAAAATTTATCCACTAGAACATAATACAGAATCATGTACTTCCCCATTACATTTGTGACATTCCGTATGTTCTTAATTCCTGAGGGCATAGTGTATTTCTGGTTTTGTTTGCTACTAATTTTCCAGTACTAGCATGATTCCTGGCACATAAGTAGATATTCTCACAATATCTTTTGAATGCATTAATGTATGGAAGGGAATGATATTGTAATAAGCTAAGGAATCCTGAATGAATTGGCATTTAATCAGGGTACTATTTTTCTGTTATTATTGAGAACAGGTGGAGGGAATTGAATTGTGGATAATGCAACCAACAAAATTCAATAGTATTTTCTAGATCCACATACAATGTAGAGGAATTTAAGATGATTCCTAGGTGGAGTGAAGAATGAACATGGAGATCTTCAGGATCAATGAGTTCAATTTGTTGCACTGAATTTTAGGTGACAAATTCACAGAGTAGACTGACTTGAAGATATTTTAAAATGTAGGAATAAGTATGGTGTGAGAAATTATCTAGGAATCTTCATCTTAAATTGGTGCTCTCTGGTCTCTGTGAGCAAACATTTTCCTGTCTCTATTCACTATTGTGGTTAACATGAAGTGTCAGAACTCTTGGATCCATCCCGGATTGTTTTCTGTCATCTCCTCTTCCCTTACACTTTTCTAAAATTTTCAATGTTTTCTTCACTCATCTCTAACCACTGCTATTTCCTTGCGCTTTCACCTGGACTATTTCATCAACTTCTTAACTACTCTCTTTGCAAGCATTCTTGCTCTCCAGTAATCCAGTTTGCAAATTCCTCTGAGAGTGACTTTCCAAGACACCATAATGTCATTTTCCTGATTAATATCTTTAAAAGACTTCCATTACCCATAGAATAAAATCAGAACTTTTTCATCAAGGCTTCATCATTTTTTTCTAGAATTTCTGAATATTATCTCCAGTTTTTCTCTTCAACTCTGTATCGGACTCTTATTCCAGCTCCTCTTCTCCAATCATACAAGACTACTTAATATCACCCAAATATCCTAAATGCTCTCATGCTTTCTTCCTAATAATAATAATAATAGCCAAGAAGATTCCTCCTATTCTTCAAGTCTCAACTCAAATGTATCTTTTGGAATCGTTCCCCAGTAGAACACTTACAGTTCCACTGGTTATCTGTCAGCTCACTGAAAGTCTTAGCCAAGTTAGCTGACTAGCCGACTTAATATCAAATAAGTGGAATTAAGCTCACAACTTGGCATATCTTGATTTAATCAAAGATATATACCTAAAAAATTTTGAGCATAATTCGTTGACACCTCTTTCTCAGGTGGAAAATAGGTCTACAGGAAAAAAAAACAAATAAACAAACAAACAAAAAACCCTCCTTTGGACCTCATGAAGATGGCTACTGGAGGGCGTCGTTACGTCCTACGTCATCACGTGCTGGGATGAGGGTGTGACCCTAAGGGAGACGGTGGTGGGGCGGGACCCAGCAGGTGGGCGGGGCTACCAGGGATCAGGGCAGGGCGGGGCCAGGCCGGTGTGGGGTCGGGGACGCTTCTGCTATTCAGCCGGTGCGCGCGGCTGCAGGAGGCTGCGTCAGGGGAGTCCACTCGACGCTTAGTCCCGAGAGCGTGCCCTGGATCGCCAGCTTAGTCCAGGATCAGGCGTGTAGCCGAACGGAAGCAAGTGGCAGCAAGGACTGGTGGCCGGTGCCTGAGCTCCGCGGGCGGGAAGCACCCAGGATCGGGGAAGCCCCGGGAGCTGCGCTGCGGCGCCTCCCTCACCCTAGGGGCAGCAGTGACGGTCACGGGGCGCGTCGCCATCGCGCGCGACCCAGGCCAGGATTCTAAACAGACGCCCAGGCTCCTCCTTCGATCGGGCCACCTCACCTTCGGGCAGCACCGCCGCGCCTCCGCGGGTGTAGAGGACACCTGCGCCTCCTCGCTACCGGTCTCCGCCCCTCGCCCTTCCCCCCACAACCCCCCCTTCCTCGACTGCCAGGCCCGGGCAGCTCACCTGGACCAGCGCAAGCTGCGGGAGCCAGGCGCGAGGGGCGCGGCGCCCTAGTCACTGTCCCAGGAGGACGCAGGTGGAGCGAGCGTGGTTTCGTGGAACGTGCGGGCGGTCGCCGCCTTCCCCGTCGCCAGAGTCGGGGGGACCGGGCTGTTTGTGCCGGTAAGGAGCTGCAACCGGCTGGGCACCATGAACAGCAGCAGCGCCAACATCACCTATGCCAGTCGCAAACGGCGGAAGCCGGTGCAGAAAACGTGAGTGTCCGAAGCGCGTCCTCAGTACGGGGGCTGGGCGCTCAGGCTCACCAGTGCGGGAGGCGGCCCTACCCCGCCCCCAAATCCCCGCGATCCGCGGGGATTAGGTCCATTCCCCACACAGCCAGCCCAATGGAGAGTTGAAGGCCAGAGGAGAAACCCAGGACTTGGATTCTCTTATTTCCAGTTTTTGCATTTAAAATAATTGCACCCCGGGTTACCAGAGCAAACGCGCCCTCTGACATTTGCAACTCTGTAATCTCTTATTTGGTACTAATTTGTTGACAGCTCTGACCTGCTTTGTGGTGTTCCTGGATTAGTTAGCCTAAACCTGTCTTGAAATCCCTCTCCACTCTAAATATCCTCATGGGTTAGGTTAGAGGACAGTCTTAATTCTGATTCTTGGTAGAAAGCTTTGTGGGGTGAGATGTTTTAAAGAGCCAAACACGTGCTGTCTTGAAGGAAGATGCAGAGTGCTGTTAAAGGCATTTTTTTTTTCCTCCACAGCAGTTGGCTTAATGTTGTGCCACGTTATTTAATTATTAGGCAGTAATTTTGTAGTGACAATATCGTTAAAAAGAGTTACAGGGATGGGAGCATGTAGGAGTGTGCAGTGGGCAGGTTCCACAGGGGATAGTATTCTTAGCTATCTTTAGAAGCAGCTTTCTTATCACTTTTGGGTTGGTTTTAGGGTCTGTAAAGTAAAAGATTTAGAACAGTTTTTATTGAGAGAGAAGTTTTCATTCTTAATATCTACCTGTAATTCCCTTTTCCCCTACTTCAAAGTTTTGTCTATTGTAATAGTGTAACTACACTGGAATTTCTTCCTTTTTTTTTTTTGGTGGTGTTGGGGGTGTTTGTTTTGGTGGAATGTTTGTATGAGATGACAAATAAATACATCAAAAAGATGTTTTCAGAAAAAAAATCAGCGCTTCAGACAGATTTCCTTTTGTGAGTCTTATTGATGTGTTATTGTCTTCTGAGTTTCATCAGCATTTTTCAAATTTTCGTGAACAATTTTGAAAACACTTAAACTTTTAGTCAGAAGAAATCAGAAGTGTACTTTTCACTTAAAACTTGACTTAACTGTCCCTATATGAGAACCCAGAAAAATAGCAGTTTCATATTTATACAGTATATAAAGTTAGTTACCTAAAGTTTCATTTTAATGGAACTTTAATTTCCTTTAAAAATTTCAGTTCCCATAGGTCTTCAGACCTTTGACTTAATAGTTTTGCATTAACAGAGGACTCTGTAGATAGACTGGTTATAATATAGAAAGAGGTTTTATAATACAGTGTATCTGACAGCAATATTGTCTAGTCAGCAATTTTCTGTCTTGACAATTCTGAGACATTGATTTATAATATTTTTATTTTGTAGAAAGGTTTTGTAAAGTAAAGCATGTTTTTCTAATTTGATTTTGTTCTTGATGGTTAAAACTGAGAGGCATTCTATAATGCCTATTCCATGTATTTATTAATATAATGATACACTTAGCATAATTTATAATAGGCTTTTATGTGTTTGGTAAGAAAATTTGAAGCCCTGAATGGTTTTAAAGACATTAAGTTTCAGTCAGTAGGTTATAAAAGGACATAGATTGCTTTATAAACAAAATCAAGTACCTTAATTTTATATTCATTATAAAGTTTTAACATTTGGGGTTTTCTAGTTAATATTTTATAAAAGATTTTTCCCTTTTAATATACTACATTTTCCTTTTGAATGAGATGTTCTTTTATTATATTATTTTAATATTTTAATGTACTTCCTTAGACTTTTTTAATGCATTTTATTTTATTTTATTTGTTCTAATTAGTTATACATAGCAATAGAATGCATTTTGATACTTCCTTAGACTATAATATCCTTGCGTTTAATACTTTCTTCTACTATAAGTATTCTCATTCATCCACACTTTATTATAGATATTAATAGTTATTATAAATGTTTAGCAAACATTTACCAATCACCATGCATTGCTTCTAATCATATAGATGTTTTAAGTGTCACCAGTTTCTTCTATAAGAAAAGTCTAGTGCTGACAGTTAGATGAGCAAGTGAAAGTGTTGAAGTTATTTTTACCTGAATAAAAATAAAAATGCAGTTAATCAAAGTTTGCTCAAAGAATGAGACCATTAAACTTTCTAGTAAATTTAATATGAATTTTTAAATTAAACTACTATTTTGTAGCTAATGAGGCCTAAAACATGATAACCTTGGGAAAAAGACATATTGACTTGAAGATGCTATGCTATTCTGATTTACTTTACTTGGACTCTTTAAATTATAGCCATTTTATTTTATTTTATGGCAGTTATTATGGAACTGTTTAAAAAGGTGGTCATTTGCTTATACAATTCCATAAAATTTTGGAATAAAGTAGGTGACATAATTTTAACCTGAAGCTCTTTCAGTCATTTGAATTTGTTGAGCAAAATAAACTCCCTCTAGTGGTAGGTGTCACATTGAAAATTATCTTTATTAGTAGGAAATACATTTTAAATGTGTTAAATTTAATTTCACTGAAGTGTCTTATACAAAGTAGACTCTGAATAGATGTTCCCCTTCTTTTTGGAGCAATGAATGTTAGGAATTTATAGAATCTGTAACAACCTTGCATACAATCCCATGTTTCTACCTTCAAGAAGAAAATCTCAAAGACAATATTAGGAGTAGAATCCACTAACTTTTCTTCGAATATTGTTCCATACTTAGTAAACCTTCTAAAAGAGAGAACAGACATTTTTATTTACATCCTGTTCTTTTATTCTCTTTGGAGACGAAAGAGTTTCTGTGTATTTGTCTATTTTGTCTCATGAAGAGAGTTGAAAAGCCCACTGTAGGATTAAATAGAATCTGTTTTTCTTTCAGCGACAATAAATTTGAATATATTTTTGAAGTTTTACTAATACAGAAAAAAATTAATGGCATTTCAATTTACCATATTTCTAGGAAGTTAGTACTGAATGTTTACAAAGAATAGCTGTGGAGTTGATGACAGCCACACTGAAAGATGATTCCAGCAGTAGTGGGGATTAAGCCAGAAAGAGTGAGGTGAGGTGTCAGGACTGGAAGTATTCTGAGCATTGGAGGGTCCTCTGTTAAAATGCACACTGATGAAATCTTTGACTTCATTAACATACTAATAAGATAGATATAAAAGCATTGTCTTTCTTGCTATTCTTGCTAACTTGCAGTTCCATCTCCTTAAACATCACGAACCTCATTTATATAATACATTTATTTATGTATTATTATTTTCAATATATTATCCTCATTAAATGTTTCATATAGATGTAGTGTGATGCCATTTTCTAACAAGCATTTGAAATATAAAGGTGGGTCTTTTCAATTATATAACTATTTCTCCATCATTTCTCTCAAATAGCTTTATTCAGAAAGTTTATATGTTGTGGCTATCAATACTCTCACACTTTGGACTATGAACTGAAGTGAGTAAAAATGTTTATAGGTAACCTTAAATGACAAAAAGAGGAAAGAAAGTTTACTGTACAAATTGAAAGCACTGGATCTGAAGTAAAAGTTGAGATCGAATTTCCTGACTGTTATAGATCTAGTCAAGTTTTATGACTAAAACACGACAGTCTACTCCTACACTGCCACTATCACAGTTAAAACTAATAGAACAATGAGCATTTTATAAATTGTGAAGACTGTTAAAGATACAGATGAGATAGGAACATAAGACCTTTTCTTTAAATAATTATAGCTTACATTATCACAGAACAATCAATTCTCCTATGAAACAGTGAGAGGCAGTAGATGATTATGTTCTCAGTTTCAGATGCGACTGAAATGTGTCACTTCATTGAGAATAAACTTACATAGCACATGATTATTCCTGAATTTAATTAAGACAATTACATAGAAATAAAACCAGGCAAATCTTTTATTTACGTATTTATTTATTTTGATACTGGGGATTGAGCTCAGGGGGCCCTTTAACACTAAACTACATCCCATCCCAGCCCTTTTTAAATTTTTGAGACAGAGTTTCTTAGGGCCTTGCAAAGTTGCTGAGGCTGGCATTGAATTTGTGATTCTCCTGCCTCAGCTTCCTGACTCTCTGGGACTTCAGGAGGTTGCCAAAGCACCTGGCAAAACCATGCAAATCTTTAACAATAGTTCGTTTGTACTTCCACACTTCTTTTTGCATAGTGGTTTAATATAACAATCAACTGTTTATTAGCATTTACTCTGACACAAAACAATGTTTTACATATACCACCTTATTTTATTTTTATAATAGTACTAAGGAAACAATATTAAGTTTTATGGATAGATACCAAAGTTTAGGTACAGAATTAGTTGGGTAGTACATAAAAATCCTGAGTTTGGATGATGGATCCCCAGGTCTTTTGGTTCCAAAGCTTATGTTCTTAACCAGCTTCACAGTACTGTCTAGTGAACAAGTTCAGTGATGCATGTGGTACACCCATATCCTAAGGATTTCCTGTTGTCCACTGTTTCTCCTCAGATAGCATTGTGGCTGAAGTAAATTATTTCCCATTTCCCATCATGATTTATACTTGCTCATCTCATGCTTGCATTCATGTCCTTTCCTCTTGGAGTCTCTTTTTTCCTATCTTGCTAATTTGTTACCTATCTCCTTCGCTTAAAACATTGTTTTTTAATGGCTACATAGCCATGTATTCCATAATTTTCACTGTTTTCATTTTGGGGGAAGTTCTGTTTCTCCAATCTGTCAATATTTTAACTAGTATTTTAGAGAATATCCTTGTGATATGTAAATTCTTATATTACTTATTAGTTATTTCCTTAGGAAAAATCCCTATAAGGG